ATATATACACACACACACACACACACACAACCTACTGGTCCATTTAGTGGTGCTAGTGTGTACCTGTGTTTAGGCTGACCTCCCAATGTGAAAGAAATTAATTTCTGTTCATTGCAAATTACCCAGTCCAGGTTTTCTGTCATAGTGGCATAGGATGAATTAAGAAAATCTATTTCCCTTTGACTATTTTCAATTCCATCTATAAGACCCCATTCTTTGTCTTTCTGCATCTTGTTTATTTCACTTAGTGTAATGTCTCTCTATGATCATCCATATTATTGTAAATAGAATTTTTGGTCTTTTTGAGACGGGCTTCCCTTTAGCCCCAGTTGGCCTGGAAGTCACTGTGTAGACCAGGCTGCTTGAACGCACAGATATCTGCCTGCCTCTGCTTCCTGAGTGCTGTGATTAAAGAGGTGTGCCAGCATGTCCCGAAAGAAGTTCCTTCTTTTTAAAGGCTAAATAGCATTCCATTGTATGCGTACCACATTTTCTCCATTTATTCCCATGTCTATGGACATCTAAGTTATTTCCATGTATTGGTTACTCTGATGAATGTTGAAATGAACACAGGAGTGCAGATGTCTCTTCAGCATATTGATTTAATTTTCTTTAGATATGTACTCAGAACTGATCATATAGTAGTTCTATTTTCAATTTGTGAGGAACTAAGTATTCTTCATAACGGCTGTAGTGATTTACATTCCCAGGAGATTTTTAAAAAAATCATACCTTTTAGGGGAGGAGGGCGTGGGAATGGAATATTCTGTGTAGATAATTTTGTGACTAAAGCTCTAGTAGACCTTCTAATGTTATTTCATCAAGACTGCATGAGAGGGGCTGGGGAGATAGCTCAGCCTGTACAGTGCTTGCTGTGTAAGCATGAGGAACAGAGAGTATGGATCCCCAGGACCTCTGGGGCATACAGGAGTGTATCTGTAATCCCAGTATTAGGCAGGTGGAGATAGGACGATCCCTGGAGGTTGCTGACCAGCCAGTCTAGCTCAGTTAGTGAACTTCAGGTTCAGTGACAGACCCTGTCTCAAAAAATAGGGTGGAGAGGTATTTAGGAAGACAGTTAGCATTGACCTCTGACCTCCACATACTGTGTATATGTGTGTGCATGTATACCTGTACACGTGTGCACACACACAAACACGTATATACACACAAGACACACATGGTATAATGTATATCCATGTATACTTAAATGGGAAAATTGATTTTTTTCCTTAAATTACTGCTTCTTAACATTTTAGCAGTGGGAGTTCTTACTGACTTGATATTAAAGATTCCACACGTTTCTTTGGGTACCCAAATAGCTTAAACAGTGGCAACATTTAGAAAAACTTAGTTTATAATGAAAAAGTTCATTTAAGATCATAGAAAAAAATGGAGAGAGAGAGGAAACTGCCATTTCATGTTTGTAAGTATTTCATCCAGGCCCTGAGTCACTTGTTTTCCTGGCACGAGAAGATTGCAGAGGAAGTTTCCTAGTGGTCCTGCTGATCCAGTCATCCTCCAAGTTACCTCTTCGTGAATGCAGTTTTCCCTCTGTGAAGTGTATATCATAATGATATTGCTTTGTAAAACTGCTTTGGAACCTTAGGAAGAAAAGCACCATGTCATCAATCTAGCCACCATATATTTTTATAAATGTTCATCATATGCTAGACATTTATCTTTGGCCCTGTAGGTAGTAGAGTGGTAATAAGTGCTTGGCCTCAAGAAGCCAATGAGAGAAAACAACCTAAGAACCCTGGAAAACCTGAGCCTGGATGCTTCCACCTGCTGTCCACCAAGTACTACACCAGATCCTGTGCACATGTGATGGGAGGCAGAAACAGATATGGCCCCTGCCCTTTCAGCATTTGGTCTTGTAGCTGGGCGTAGAGCCATTACTGGGTAGAATAGATTTGGTGATTAATGAGATACAGAAAATGAGGGAAAAATTGGCAGAGATAATTATCTGCACAGGCTGTTGAATAGGAATGAGAAATAAGAACAGACTGAGAGAATAATGGTAGTTGTTTAGGAATCATCACCAACAGAGGCCGAGATAGAAATGTAGAGGTTATTCTTTATATGATGCATTAAGTTATTTGCCTAACACCAGTCAGGCTGAGGTTACACATATTAGCATTCTGGAGTCATGTTATCTTCTGGAGCATGGATGGCCTCTGAGTTCAGATTGGGAGTAGCAGGGGTGATTAGTGACAATAGTGAGTGATCATTACTAGGTTCCCCCTACATGGTTTATTACTTGCTCTTCACCACCTCCCTGTTTTTGCTTTAGAAAGAGAAACTGAAAAATGTAGGTCCTGTAGGTCAGGGCTGAGAATTCGGGAGGAACTTGGTGTCATGAACTTATCTGTGGCTTTAGAGCATAAGTTTTTTTTTTTTTTTAAAAAATACTCAAATCTTATTTGGCTTAGAAACAGGATCTCACTGTGTAGCCTGGGCTGGCTTCGAACTTGTAGTTCCCCAGCTTTCAGCCTCTCCAGTGCTGAGATTTCAGGCACACATCACTTCATGTGCAGTTGTGGAACAGCAGAGAATGGCAAGCTGGGTTCAGGGAATGGGAGGAGAAGAACTGAAAACAAGGAGTCTGCAGTTCTTCCAGCTAGTCTTGCTGACCAGGGGAGCAGAGAAATTCAGTAGTGCTTGGGAGGGGATCAGGAGTCTGGTTGTTATTTTAGAGGAGTGGCAGGATACCTTTGTGCTGCTGGGAGTGCTGTGTTGGGCAGATGTGGTAGAAGGTGATGTGTGAGTGAGATGCACAGCTGTGGTGCCAATGTCCTTCAGGAGACAGGAGCAGTGGAGCTAGTGCTCTGGTGGGGGTAGGGTAGACAGTGAGTTCTGTCATGGGAGGGCAGCAGGGAGTCATAAAGTGGAGGAACAGAGAAACGGGCAGAGATGGAGGTAATTGGCTCCCTCATGCAAGTTCTGTTGTGATCGTTTCACTGAGGAAAGTAACAACAAGTAAGATTGTCTGAAGGTAGAGGGCCAAGTGTGTTTCCGGACCCCACTGTCCCAAGGTGGGAAGACAGTCTATTTGGCTTTGTTCTTTTACTTTATTTATTTGTTTGTTTGTTTAAAAAATTATTGTTTCTTTTATGTAACTTTTATGTGGGGAACATTTTTCTCATTTTACAGAATTCAGCAGTCATTTGAAGTTTGTGTTTTGGAATTCTAGGTATTTATTACAGTGGGTGCCTAAAAACTTGGTATTTCCAAGTTTCAGAAAAGGCAACTGAAAGTGAATATTGTAATTAGAGACTAACAGGAGTAGAAACAAGACAGTGATGTTAGAATGAAACCATAATATATAACGTTCCTATTTTTGCTGAAAGGTCTTTGCCTTGCTGTGTTTTAGCTACTGTCCCCTTTCCTTCCTCTGGCAAGCTGCTGTCGACTGTAGAGTGTAATTGGTCGCCTTTCCCTGCCCCTTTCCTCAGTTACTGGAAGTCCTGGATTTCCAGTCACTGAAGCACTGGGGCTGAACTCTTGACTATTTGGAGCAACTTCCTCATTTAATGATGCAATGCCCTTTCTCCAGACTTACTCGTTTTCACCTTTGTGCCATTTGTTGTTTACCATCCTTGTTGGAAGTCTCTTCTCCCTCTTCTGGTCTCTGGTTTTGCCCTCTCCTACTTTTCTTTCCTCTTTTCCCTGTTGTGACGGTGGCCTCTTTCTCTCTCCTTCCTCTTGCTGGTCTCTGGTCCTTAGCCCCCTGCACATCCTGCATGCAGTTCAGCTTGTCATGGCCGGTGTCCTCTGGACACAGCCAAGTAGGAGCAAGGTCCTTAAATGTTCTAGGAAGCTTGCTGCCTTTGCACAGAGCAGTTACCACTAGGAGGGGTCTCAGCTTAGCCCTACCACTTAGTGGCCATGAGGACAAGCTAATTAGCTTCTCCCTCAGTTTCCTTTTCTGTAAATTGGGATCGATTTGACAGTTGCCTCCTGGATATAATTGTGAGAATTAACTGGTTTAGTATAGGGAGAGTTAAGATCAGCCTGGCACATAGAAGTTTTTAAGGAAGGTTTGCAACATTCGTTACCTACTCCCCTTCCTTGATACTCAGATTGCTGATGCCCTTACTGTCTTTGCTCAGATGCCACCCAGAGACCACCCTATTTAAAATTCTTATCCTTTCATCTGTCATCACCCTGCCCCATACTCTGCTTTACATTTCTTCAAAGAAATATTGCCACTTGATATTATTTGTGTGTATATTGTCTGTCATCCCCCTACACTGTGCAATCTAAAGAGTCAGGGCCTCTGATTCAGTCACTGTTCTATTCCCAGCACCAAGAACACTGACTGGCACAATGAAGGCATTCAGTAAGCATTCTTGGAACAAATGAGTAAATAGAGTGCTATTTACATTTGTGTGCTTACCAGTTGTTTCCTATTCCTTGTATTTCACTCTTTTGAATTCATTTTCATCTTTGCTGACATATATTATAATGAAGGTCACTGTTAATGATAAACTATCAGTTTTCATCTTAAACTACTTGTATTTTCCTACAACTCTTAAATGATAGTTCAGTATAAAATACTAGGCTAGTATTTATTTATTCTCTATGCTTGGATGATTGGCAAGTTACTCTATTTTTGAAAAGCAATATGTTAGTCTAATGTCAGTCTGTTTGACCATTAGGGCTGAGATGAGTGATGCTATGTAGCTCCACTAAAGCCTCCTTTTAAAGAGAAGCTCCTAAAGGAAGTCTCATGAGTTTCAGTGCTTACAAAGCCTGGAAACCGTCACCGAGTCCTTACAGTGAAGTGTGACATTGTGCAGTGATGCAATAATGGACAAAGAAGTACAGAACAGAATCAAGGATATCCTTTGGGGAGTTGACAGAGTATGTTATAAATGTAATATCAAACTTCAGTGAGATGGAACTGAAGATGTACAGAGCACATACATACTTCCCATAAGACATGAGACTGGCTACCAGTGGCACATATGGCTTGCTGAACAGTTTATTCTGACCCTTTGTGAACCTATCAGATCACAGAGTAGCAGGACAAGATCAGCAGCAGCAAAGCTTGGAAGGCAGCCTGTGTACCAGTTTGGAAATAATTCTACAGCATAGCTTTACTGAGCTGGATACATACACAAAATGTGACATAGCAGGACTCCTAAGCAACTGTTAAATAGCAAGCCGAGGGGGAGAAAGCACAAGCTGAGAAAGCAGGAAGACTGTCTCGGGATTTATGACAATTCACGTCTCAGTAGCAAGACTGAGTGCACAAGCTCAGCAGCCGCAGAGCAGCTGTAAGGGCTGGGCTTGCTCTTGGTGAGGCGAGGCTTCATGCTGGCTATGGAGTCTAAAAAGCTGGACCACAGTGACAGACCATTTAAATAGCAGGCGCAGCTGCTAACAAAAGGAGAAACTTGATGTGTGTTCTGAATGGAGAGACTGTGTGTCTCATTGCCTTTGCCTGTACCCATGACTGTGATTCAGGAAAGACATTTTTACATATTCATGTCCATAAAACTAAAATTGTTCATAACTACTTTCTACCTCTTTATCAAGAAAGAAAAAGTTAAGAAAGAACCATCCCCATCCCAAGCAAAACAAAACAAAACAAAATGAACAAAAACTAAATCAGTGGTTGCACTGTAATATTAGAAGAGAGGGAAGTTTTTTCTTTTCAGTGTTTATCATCGAACCCAGGGTGTTGTACAACCTAGGCAAGCAGTCTACTACTGAGTTACAACCCCAGACCTGAAATACTAGAAATAGAGCAATTTATCATTATTAATTTTCTTTTTTTTTTCTTTTGGTCTTTTTGAGACAGGGTCTCCTTGTAGCCCCAGCTGACCTGGAACTCACTATGTAGACCAGGCTGGCCTTGAACTCACAGAGATCATCTCTCTTTCTTCTGCCTGAGTGCTGGGATTAAAGGCGTGCGCCACCACGCCCGGCCATTATTAACTTTTATTCTTTACCAGTCTTCACATTTAAAAAAATATTTTATTGTTTTTATTTAATGTGTATGCATGTATTGCTTGCATGTAGGTAAGTGCACCCATGTCGTGCAGTGCCCACGGTGGACAGAAGAGGCTGTCAGATCCCCTGGAACTGGAGTTATGGACAGCTGTTAGCTGCCATGTGGGTGCTGGGATTCAAACCCAGGTTCAACCACTGAGTCATCTCTCCAGCCCTGAGTCTTCACATTTTTATTTCATTGATAGGATATTTAAAAGACCAAGAATGCCCTAGAACCAATAATGTAATAATACTTTAATTTCCAAAGTACCTTTTAGCTATCTCTGTGACCTGTCCTGCAGTTCCTTTCTGTGGGCATCTTTCACATGATTGTTCATTTATCTCTTTTCTCCCAGGACCAGCAGCTATTATCACTAGCTGTATATTACCTAGTGGTTATTCAATAAATGTTTAGCTGGACTAAACTCCAAGGATTAGGATGTCGGCATGTATAGCCTAATAGATGTCCATACAGTTTTCACCAGCCATTCTTCTTAGCACTCTCATATAGTAGTCTAATTCCAACAATATGAGTATGCTTTCTGTTCTCATAGCTGTGACAAAATGCTAACAAGACTAACATGAAAAGAAGGATTTATTTTGACTCATGGTTTCAGGGATTCCAGTCCATCATGAAAGGTAAAGTATGACGGGAATGGCAGTCCAGGTAGGCAGAAGTGTGAGCAGCTGTTCGTTTGGCTGACCAAGAAGTAGAGAAGGGACAGGGCTAGACTCTAAACCCTCAAAGGCCTACCCCAGCAACCTACCCCATCAGCCAGACCTCACTCTTAAAGGTTCCACAGTCCCCCAAAGCTGTACTCAACAGCTAGGGACCCAGGTGAGACACATGGGCCTGTGGGATACATTTTACATTTAAACCCTATCACTGTGTTAGACTTGCAACACTTTGTGCCTTACCATTTTTGTCCTGTGTTTACCACTTTTGTAGATTTTCATCCATTTTCCTGTCTTGTTGAATTCATAATTATTAGGCCACCTTCTATGATACCCAGAATGAAACTCTGATGAGTTAGGTGAATTAAAACCATTAACCTGCAGGGAACATTGTGGAAGAAGGGGTAGAAAGAATATAAGATCTGGAAGAAAAATGGAGAATGGTGTGGAATGCTGACTTCTAGGCATGACATGGCTGGTGCACTCTTGAACTCATAGCAGCTGTGATTTATTACCTTTACAAGATCTTCACAAGATTGAACCTGTCAACACTCTGTCATGGAAGGGAAGGGGTTCATAGGGCTACACTCTTCTGTGAGGATCTGTATGCATTTAGTGGTTAATGGGGGAGGGAGAGACATTTTCTTCAATAGTGTAGTTATTGGTAAGGTGCTTATGCTCCTATAAACCCTCATTGATCCTTCTGTAACCAAACTAATGAGCCTCCTTGATTAGGGGGCGCGCACACACGCGTGCACACACACACAGAGGAAGAAGAGATAGTTTGGAAGAGGAATTAGTGGGACTGGGTGGGGAATAAAAGAGGTAATGAGGATGAATGTGAGTAAAATACATTAAGTACATGTATGAAATGTCATAATGAAACTCATTAGTATGTATAATTAATATGTGAAATAAAAACGTTAGAAAAAGGGAAGGCAGCTAAAACATACGTTAAAAAAAACCCCAAGATCATAGAAATGGGACAGTAAATGTGGTATAGACATGTAAAAACAAAACATATGGGGGTTCTGAAATACCACACATAGCACAGCCATGAAAAGGAAAAAGGCAGGAAAACAGGAAGAGATGGTTTGAGAAAGACTAAGATTGTGAAGTGACGGAGTCACTTCAAGGAGACCAGAGAGCTAACTGAGTACTGTGAGAGACTTCAACACTTCACTCTTTGAAGATTTGCATCATATTTTATGAAACAAAGGAGGCCACTTCGAATGCATTAGTTTCACTTATGTATTTATCAAAGTCATTAGTCACATTTGGAGTCTTATAAAAATTTCAATGATCCTGTGATTTTTGACACCCTCTGAGTGTGCATTTTTTTTTCGGAAATTTTTAACTGAATTTTTGTATATTTCATACAGAACATCTTAATCATCTTTATACCCCTTTCCCCTTTGTCTCCCTCTCCATAGCCCCTGCCCACTGGAATTCATACATTCTATCATTTGTGTTAAGGCCTATCATGTCAAGCTAGTATATCCAGACATTCTCCAGTGCAGGTTCGTCCACTGAGGTCTAGTCCTTCCCTTTAAGAAGATCAGCTCTCCCTCACCCAGCAATAATCAGCTTCCAATAATTCTTTGACTAAGATTGGGGCCTGCTGCCAATTTCTACATTAGTGTGCTGGGTTTTTGTCTGCTTGAGATTGCATGGGTCTTGTGCATGCTGACATCATTGCTATAGGTTCATATGAGAAGAGCCTCTGGAGCCTGTAGGACTCTTATTTCCATATAGAAATACGGACCTCCTTCTGCCCCCTCTTCCACAATGGTCCCTGAGCCCTGGATGGGTAGAGTTTAATATAGGAATCCTGTCCAAGGACCCCTACTCTGCAGACTCTTATTAACTATACTTTTGTCATTTGTGGCCTTGTGTGTTTCTGGCCATCTGTTACGTGAAGGAGGTTCATTGATGAGAATTGAGAGATGCTTTAGTGTTCTCTTTACCCTTTGTTCTATGTTCCATGAACCTTAGCTGTAGAGATTGCATTGTAGATGTGCCACTTAAGCTTGGGCAATTCACAGTGTCTGTGTGTGACCAGTTGTAGAAATGTGATAATCTCTCTCTGTTGCAAAAGAAGTTTCTTTGATGAGTGGTGACTGGGATAGTTGTCTGTAAATATAAGGATCCATATTTTGTACATAGTAAGAAATTACATTTGTCTAGGGATGTGACAACCTTGGGGTTTTCCCTAAGATCTGTGACCTCTTTAATCATGTGTATTTGGCATGAATTGTATTTTTACACAAATTACTTTATAAGAATATTTCAATGTTAAGCCTTGTTATTTGTGATTTGCTTAGTGAAATGCTGAATTTTTCAGTGTAACCTGAGAGAGTAATGTTGATGAAAACTATGCAAATAGTTGTGTTTTTAATTCATGTCCTTTAATAAAAGGGTGCTAATTCTTTTTTCAAAGTTAACTGTCCATAATTTAGGATAGTAATGAATGAAGTTATGCTGTTGAGATGAACAGATGGAAGTAGTCTGTGTTGCCCTCTGTTGGTGATTAGTAGTTATTTTTGGCAAAATAATTGCTGCCATATATATAATTTATATGTGTCTAATAATCATATCAACCATTATATTTAGAGAAAAACTGCAACAGTTTATTAAGATAATATTGAACTACTTTTGTCTTTAATTTTTCTTTTTCCTTTCTTTTGTTTTTTGTCAGAGCTCCACCTCAAATCCGGCGTCCGAATCGAGAAGTGAGACCTCTGAGGAAAGAAGCGGCGGGAGTAGGAGCTCGGGGACCTGTGGGTCGAGCACATCCCATATCAAAAAGTGAAAAAGCTGCAAGTAGGGACAAGGATTATAGAGCAAGAGGCAGGGATGAAAAGGCAAGACCATCTCTTTGTAATTACTCACTTGAAGCCCATGACTTTGGTGTATGTTATCATTTTTGTTGAATTTTCGTGTTTCCATAAGTGTTCTTTATATTTTGAAGGCCATGCTGCAATGCAAATAATATAAGAGGTATAATACACACAGATACACAGACACACAGACACACATTCTCACACACACACACACACACACACACACACATATACACACAGAGGTATTAGTATTTAGGTTTTATGTCAAATGGCTTTTTTGTAGCGGCATTACAGAATCATAGTAGCCCTGGCTGTGGTGTATTGGAAGGCTCTTTGCTGGGTGCCATCCATGAATGGTTGAGAAAGCAATCCTACTTCTTTTTTCAGAGTAAGAACCTCTGGTGTGGGAAGCTTGCCAAAGCCTCAGTGAGCAGTGGAACCTAGATGGATGGAGTTGGTGAATACCACACCTTTTCCCTGTTCATCTTCTAATTTTTCATATTATGTAGTATCCCCACCTACCAAGCTAGATTTGAAATCTGGGTTAAATCTGAGAAAAGAAGTCCACAACTGAATAAAGGTTGATTTTTTTTTAATGTGATTTTCAAACCAAGAACAAGGCAATCAGGCAACATTTGTTGAATGTCAGATACATTTTTCTGAAGGTTATAGTTTTCATTTGCAATGTTTCCATGTAATTTTCCAAGTCCTATTCTTTCATTGGCATGCCTTTTTAATTTATTTAATTCATTTTTTAAAAGAACTCCACAGTTGTTTAGGGGAAGAGAAGATATTTGCTGAGTCACTGTGGAAATAAAAGGAACTACGGTTAAAAAAAAAAAAAAAGAAGCTTCCATTATAATTGGAAAGGTATATTTTTCTCAGTCTGATAATCACATTCAAATATATAGCAAATGACTAGAGTTTCCAAAACTAAACCGAAGACTGCAGTAGGTTTGTAGAAGCTTAGGTACAGTTGGCAGCTGCTTTCATTGGCTGATTGGAAGTCAGTAATGAAGCTGTTCAGAGGTATTGTAGGCTCCCTTTTTTTTTTTTTCTCTTTTAACCAGGTTGGTGTGTTGTAACAAGCTTAAAAAGATGAAATGAAATATAGCAAAAATTAGTTTATTGCCCATAATAAAGATAGTGTTATCTTGAAAAAATTTAGTTATTTAGATACAGAAAAATTTAGTTATGTATACATGCTTCTATAAACTCATGTTGTAAAATAGATTTTTTACTATGTGTACTGTAGTTTTGAAAGCTGCTGCTCTATTCCCACTACTTAGCTTCATAGGTATAAAAAAATGAGAATAAGAGGAGTTTATTTTGAGCGAATGAGATGGCTCAGTGGGTAAAGGCACTTGCCATCAAACCTGATGACCTGAGTTCCATCCCTGAAACCCACTGGAAGGTGGAAGGAGACAGCCACCTTCCACAAGGCTTCCCTCTTACTCCACATGTGGGCTCTGCTGCACTCCCAGAATTGTGTGTACATATGCACACACAAACAATAAATAAAATTACAAAAAAAGAGGACTTGCACATCCTGCTCCAGGGTCCCAAGCATATCTCCTTTCTAGCTTGCCATTTAGAACTGGGTGTTGGATCAACTAATAGCAGCAGTATCAAACATGACTCTTCCCTAATTGCACTTTCTGTTTTGAAATTTTCTATAGGAAAACCCGTTTGAAGCATTGTATGTATTGGTTTATTCCATTCCCACATGTCTGTGAGCTTTCTGTTTTTACAAATGACTGTGGAACTAGGATTTATGAAGTTCTGACTGGATGCCTGAGCTTTGAATTACAATGTGACACAGTTTGAAAGTATTTCTTATTTTGTTTTAATTTTTCTTTTTTTCTTTCTTTCTTTTTTTCTTATATGGCAAAATTGTTTTTTATTTCATTCAGTCCTGAAATTTCATAGGAAAGGAGGTATACTGGAGCATTTCAGTGTTTGGCACTCCTAAATTCAAATCACAACTCTGCTACTTTCTAGTTATTTATCATCTCTGAGTTTGTTTGCTCACATGTGAAATAAGGAGAATATCATTATCGCTAGGCCGAGAATGAGAATTAACTAGGCACTGTATGTAAGTATGTAAAGCATTTTGCATTGTAGTTGGCAAATTCCAATGCTGACAGCAGACAGATGAGAAGCATAAGTGAGATCATAGCAGTCCTGTGTACAGAGGCACGGCTGCTCACCCTGGCCAATTGTTGCCTTGTGGGGATGACGGTCAAATGCACTCAGATGCTTCATCTGTCTACAGAGACTGCAAGTACAAACTTTAACTTGAGATTTCTCAGATTTTGAATGTTAATTTTCTTCTTCTTTTTTTTTTTTGTCTTTGAGACAAGGTCTCCTTGTAGCCCCAGCTGTCCTGGGACTCACTATGTAGACCAGGCTGGCCTCAAACTCACAAAGATCTGCCTGCCTCTTTTTTAAAAAAAGCTTTTATTGAATTTGGTGTATTTCATACAGAAATTCAATAAAAAATTTTTTAAAAAAGAAAAAAAATGGCTTGTTTTAACTTTTTATGAATTCTTTCATAAGAAAATATTGTTATAAAAAAGTACTGGTAAATTTTCTGAGAGGTTGCATCTTCTTTTCTTTTTAAATTTCTGACAGGCTTCAGATGAGGTTTATGCTTAAGATGCTGTTTTTTTAAAATTATGCATTTTGCATAATGATTTGTGGTTAAAGCCTTATTATTATTTTTTTAAATGCTGAGGTCCACAGGATCATCCATATGGCCAGTAGTACTCTGTTTATTTAGCAGATCTTTTATTAGGTATATAATTTATTCCAGTGGTATCTCTAGGTGCTAAAAATATAAACTCATAAAATGTACCTGCCTACAATCCCAGCACACAGGATGCGGAGACAGGAGGATCCTGAGTTTGAAGTCAGCTTGGGCCTCACATAGTGAGATACTGTCTCATAAAACGAAAAAGACTCCTGACTGACTACTGGTTATTTTCTCATTGTTGAGATAGTGAAATGAACAATCAAGCTATGTTTTCAGTCATATATGTGAATGTACCTGGAGTCTTAGTCTGTTTGGATTGCTATAATAAATTACTGTGTGATTTTATAAATAATTGAACTTTATTGCTCACAGTTCTGGAGGCTGGAAAGCCCAGGATCAAGTCATTGTCTAGTGAGAGCAAATATGGGCAACAAGTGGAAGGTTCCAACAGCCCCTAAGGCATTTATTTTTCTTTTTTGGTTGTTTTGAGACAGGGTCTCCCTGTAGCCCCAGATGGCCTAGAACTGGCTATGTAGACCAGGCTGTCCTCAATCTCACAGTGGTCTGCCTTCCTCTGCCTCCTGAGTGCTGGGACTAAAGGTGCACATCTCTATATCCGGCTTCCTTAGGCATTTTTGTAATGGTGTTAATCCCATTCATGAGAGCAGAACTCTTATTACCAAATTGTCTTCCAAAGGCTCAACCTCTTAATACCAACATATTGGCAAAGGTTTCAACATAAATTTTGTAGGGACCCATGTGTTCAGACTATAGCACCTGAGAAAAGTGAATTTATTATTCTGCCGTTTAAGCTTAAAGACAGTATAGAAATATGCTGAGAAATGTAATTTACCCTACTTTAACCTGAATTCTATTTAAAAGCATATGTAACCTTAATCATGAGATAATAGAAACACTGTTCATTTTGGTAAAAATTAATTAACCATAAAGCTATAGTTTTAATAATACCCAAGAATCATTTTTTATATAGAAATATATAGAAATAACAGATGCTTTTTTAACTTAGAAAGAATATGCTAAAAGTAAATATTAGGGACTAGAAGAAATGTTTTTATACCATAATAAAAATAAATTTCAGTCAGGAGCATTCTCAAATTTGTTCAGACTAGTAGACTAGCTTTATTAGATTAACTAACTCTTAGTGAAACGAGCATTGCTTCCATTATGATTTCATGATTAAAGCTGTATGTGCTTCTAAGTAGAATTCAGATCAAAGTAGGACAAGTTACTGTCACTGGATTCATATTTTAAACTACCAAACTTAAAGAACTTTGTTTCATTTTTTAATTTTATGTGTATGAGTATATTGCCTGCATGTATATGAGTGTACCCGTGTTGCGCAATGCTGCTGAGGTCAGAAGAGGATGTCGGAGTCCCCTGGAGCTGGAGTGAAGGATGGTTCGTAGCTACCATGGGGGTGCTGGGAATTGAACCTGGGTCTTCTGTAAGAGCAGTCAGTGCTCTTAGCTGCTGAGCCATCTCTCCAGCCCCTCATTAAATTATTTATAACAAATCACCATTAATGAATGCTTTTCTTCTCACGAGTTAGCCTAGAGATACACATATAGAAAGATGCTATAAACTAGAGTTGAATGTTCTTTTAGCACTTGCTGATTGATGAATGCACAAATGAACAGTAACTTTTAAAACTTTATTGAAAAAGAGTACATAAATTATAATTATATTAGTATTGCTTGCATGTAGGTAAGTGCACCCGTTTAGTGCAATGCCCACGGATGTCAGAAGAGGCTGTTGATCCCCTAGGACTGGAGTTACAAACAGTTGTTAGCTGCCATGTGGTGCTGGGATTCGAACCTGGGTCTTTTGCAAGAACAACCAGTGTTCTTAACCCCTGAGCCATCTCTCCAGCCCCAATTGTATTATTTTATGAATGATGATCATCTCACCAGTGGTGTGCTGACATATGATATATATATGTGTGTGTGTGTGTGTGCATATACATGCTTTTCTGAAAAAGTATGTTCATGTATATGTATGTGTATATATATCCACATGATTTATTATAGCTCTGAGCAAAAAAATAAGGCATATATAGGTAATAATTTATAAATAATAACTGTCCAATAGTCCTTATGGTAAATTTCATAGAGCCTGCAGACTTCACAGAATACTTTTGCTGATTTGGGGCCAACTCTTGCATGTCTATCTGACCTACTCCTTTTTTTGAAGGAGAAATGCACTGCAGACATGAATGTTGGTTGATAGTTTGTTTTCATTAGTAAGA